AAATTAACAGAAAAAATGATTGCAAATCAACAGAATTTTGAATCAACACAGAATTCAACATCAACAAATCAACCATCATATGTAAATATTAGTCGTGTAAATCATGGTTATGTACCATATAATCGTTATACATCGGAATATCGTCGTGATGATTCCCTACTACGTAGTCCAATTGATGATCGTTTTACAAGTCTTCCCACAGAATCATCGAATAAAGGATTTCTTCAACAAAAAGTTGAAAGTCTTTATGGTGAAACATTTGCCGAAGATTGGAATAAAAATCGTGTAAAAAAAGGTCAATCAATTGAAAAAAGTATTCAACCGAATCCTATTGATCAATCACCAGCTAATCAAATTAAAACAACATTGGCAAGTAGTAAATTATTTCAGAAAATAAATTGCGTCGATCATACAGGTGAAATAGTTCTGTTTGAATTGAAAAGTTTAACTTTGATTCAAATTTGATTTTCGTATTTTAAATACCATCAATGTAGATTCATCCGAAGATACAACAAATAAATCATTCGATAAAGATTGGTGGCTAAGAGAACATCAACCGCAATCAAATCGTAATCCGATTGATGATGGCCAAAATGATGGTCGAATATTTATGGAAAAAATCCAGGAACAAAAATCAAGAATACAGAATAAAATACAACAAGGTGAGAAATGGCTATCGAATCCCAAAGACATTCCCGAAGAATGTATAGGAAAGATTCGTGCGGCCATTGGAAAGGCAAATCTTTTGTTGAATAAAAAATTTCAACAATTTCAAAAACTTTGTGAAGATAGTATTGTAAGTGATTTGATTGTCATACATTTCTATTTATTTTCACTGATTATTTCTTTGTAACTTTACTTTAATTACATTTTAATTTTAGAATCAAACCGATGGCCAACCATTCAGAATTAAAAATGATGATCTACAAGGATTTTGGGATATGGTCATGATACAAGTTGTAGATATAAATCAAACATTTGATCAATTGATTCAATTGAAACAAAATCAATGGAATTTATCAACAACAGAAGAATATTCTTCGGATCAATTAGATTCCAATCATAAAACTGTAAATTTTTCACAAAAAATAAGAGTTGGCTAAGGATAAAAACATTTCTTACCAAACAATAATAATCATTTTTCTTCTTTTGTTTGTTTTTTTCTTTGGGTTTCTTTTGATATTTGATCTTTAATCTCGACTTTGCGATTTTATTAACACATTTTTTTCTATTCTTTTTTCTTTTTTTTTGGCTTGCAGATGAGTCCTAAATCGAGAATTTACCCGCGACAACCATCAAGCAACATACATGAAATAACCACATCATCACCAAGAAAATACGATACAAACAATAATAAAACATCAACAACTACCGAAAATATAAATAGTCCACGCGATGATGAACGACAACGTCGTTTAAGGGAAATTAAACGACGTGCTAAAATGATTATGAAACAAGACGATGAATCAGATGATATTCAAATATTTGCTCCATCCAAATAATATTAATTGATCACACATACACAATGACACACAAACACCTTTACCACACATAAATGATGGTATAGAATCGTTTATTCTTTCAAAATTAATATTTTTTGTAGATTTCAATTTCACATACCTGATTTAATCTGCTACGGTGCTAAACAAATTATTTTCGCGCCTTATATTACATAGATCTTTTTTCTAACCAAATTAATAAAAAAAAATTCAATAATTTTTTGTAAACTTTGATGAATCAATGTTGATTATTGTTTTGAATGTTTTTTGGACATGTAATGATTATAATGATTCAGTCTTGAAATTATGATAATTCACATTTTGAACATCAGATCGTGGTAAAATTATTTAAAAGAATCGTTTAACTTTTGAACAATAGATGACAGGAAAATCGTATACAATTTAATTTCAATTTTGAAACCAGTGCTGCCATCTTTTTTCAAAGAAAATTTTAAAAATATCATCGAAAAAAAAATTCTGGATAAATTCCTCAATTCCTTTTAAAACTTTAATGAATATTCTCTAATCAAAGAATGAATGATCACACAAAAGCATATTTACAAAAAAAAAACTTTATTTTTTATTGAAAAACATCAGTTAAATTTCATTAGATGATGATGAATGACTGCCAAAATAATCATTAAATTCGATCGGTGATTTTATTGGGACATTTGTCCTTGTTGATTGAAAAAAAAATAACGATTCGGTTCATCGAAAAACCGACCATCCAAATGTCCAAAATGATTATCTAAAATTCTAAGGAAATTGGAAAAAACGGTAGAATAATTTTTCTAAATAACCAACAATTTTTAATGAATTTCTTGAATCAAATCCGTCTTATTTTTTTCGTAATTAAGAAGGAAAAAAAACAATGGATGATGGTCCATTAACAAGAAACCTGTAGAAACGAGCTTCTGACACTTTAAATGTCTACAAAAGCCCGGATTCTACAGGGTAGCTCGAGAATGGAAAATCAAATAGACATATAGTTGTTGTTGCTGTTGAAATTTTCAATCTGGAACAACGTTTAAATTCTGGAACTGTTAATATCAAAAAAAGAAAAACAAAACAAAATTCATTAATCAATTGAAATCAATTTTAAATACATACAAACCATCGTTGAATCATTTTTTTTACAAATTCAAAATGTTCAATTCGCCAAAAGTACATACACAAACATCAAACGCCGCACATACACTAAACATTATCACTATTGAATTATCCATTCGGATAAAACTGAAATCAATGAAAAAGGAATGATGATCATGGCCAGAGGCCAGCTCTACATTGAATGGATGATAATGAAAATCATCATTCATTCATCTTACAATAATAACAACCAAAACAACAACAAACAACAATCTTCTCACATTTCTCTCACATCGTTTTTTCTTTTGGTAGATTCTCTCTCTCTTTTTATATATACAAAAAAAAAAATTTCTGTCCATCAAACAGAAACCAACCATACACCTATTATTATTTATTTGTAAAATTTTTTCTTTTCTCAATCGAGGAGTACAACAAAAAGCAAAGCAAAATAAGAAATGTACATCTAAAATGAAATTGAGAACTATCATTATTAGTTGTTGTGCAAAAGGAATAAAAACATTCGAAATATGATGATAAACGTGTGTGTGTCCATTGAATATTTTTGTTTCTAGCCATAATCTCTTTACAACAACACAGAAAAACTTCAAGCTTTGATCATCATCATCATTCTCTCTATCTGTATTCTAATATTTTGCACCGAAACAAACACTACACACGAATTTTCTTATCGTAATACAATGACATTAATATTTGAGAAAAATAGAGAAAGATATGTTTGAGTACACACCTTATTCACATCATTTCTTTAGTTACCATCATCATCATCATTACCATCATTACCATTATCATCATTATTATTATCGTTATATCCTATACTTTGCAATGAGAAATGGTTGAATGATTATAGACCTACCATTTGGAAACAAAAAAGAAAATTCAAGTTTCTGTTTTTCTGTTTATCCATCCTCTCTCTATCTTACCACAACTACAGCATGTAATAAGAGAGAGAGAGAGAGAAAGAATCATTGCAAAAAGAGGGAATACACAAACATTGGACGTAAATGACTTTTTTTTTGATCATCATCAATATAAACGCAATTAAGAAATGAAATGATGAAAATCAAAATCCAAATTTTTTCACAAAGACATCAAAAGAAAATGATGATGATAATGATGATTATCATCAAGCGAAGGAAAAGAGTAAGAGATAGAGAGAGAGATAGAAAGACATAATCATCTAATGTGTCGATCATGATGATGGGTAATGATGGTAATGATTGTTTGACGACATTCAATCATTTTCTTTTCGTTTTTTTTCCCTGAAAAAAAGAATTTAATGTTTGAATTGAAATGAAATGAAAGAAAATTTTTCCTCAACGAATTGATGATAATGATATTTGTCGTTTTTTTTCTCTTCGCTTGAATTCGATGATGATGATGATGAAAATAATGGATTGATGGAATAGAGGGAAAAAGCGATGAATATTTTTTGGTTGTTATCGTTGTTCAATCGATTTGCCCAAAACACACACACACACACAAGAATTTTTAAAATTTCTTTTTCATAAAGCCAGATCGAAATTCAGAAATTCCTTAGTCTCTATGGACCATTCTCTATATCGGCGTCAGTGTATGTGTGCGTGTGTGTGTTTGATGAAATTTTTTTGGAAAAAAATTCCATGGAAAAAAATGAAAGAAAACTCAATACACACACACCGAACAATGACAACAACAACAAAAACTATAAAAAAAACAAACAAACAAACAAAAGTTTCCGGCAAATTTACCCAGAATATATATTCGTTTCCTAAAACAAAACGAAAAAACGAAATGGAAACAATTGATGCGAATAAATTACAAGAACGATAAAGAAAATAAACAATATTTTCAAAGATGTTTTAGGATGGATGGATGGATGGATGGATGAAAAACTAAAAAACACACCGCACAGACACACACACATTAATTTCAACGAAAAACATTTCAAATTCTAATCACTATTTGAAAAGTAAAGAATTTTTAAAATTGAAAGTTTTATTTTGCAGTTGGAGAAAGGAATATTCGACCGACCGACCGACCAAAGTTGGATGTGGATGAATGATTCTGAAATGATTCTCGCTGCCAAATATATAAAAAAAGGCCCATCCAGAATTTTTTTTTCGCTCTCGATTCTGGAACAACACACACCGACACAACAACTAAATGTATGAATGAATCATCTATTCATCTTACACATCAACTACTTCCACCGAATTGCCAAAAACGAATTTCCGAATGAAGAATCATGGAATTTCGGAATAGCAACGAAAAAAAACCGTTGCTATTTTTTTTTCTGTTGTTGTCTGTCTGGCAAAAACTACTACTCGTACATAGTATAGTAAGGGTAACAACAACAAGAATCCCATACACCACCGAACTAAACTAAACTGACTATCGGTCGATCGGTTTTCCATTTTTTTTTTATTCATTCATTTTAAGCAAAAAAAACCGTTGATCCATAGGGATCAATGTGGATCAGAGGTAAGGCAAAACAAACAGTGTAAAAAAAATTCATCCATCTAACCCAACACCACCACCACCACCATCATCATAATTTAGCGAAATGATTCACCAGAATTGAGAATTTTTTTTCTGTTTCTTATTCTGTTTTGTTGAA